CTTGATTTCATTAAGGGGTTTAGGGTGGGGACAGGGGGAGGGGTGGGGCTGTGCTGGGCCACACACATCCCCCCTCGCTCACACTCCCGCGGGCGCCCCCTCCATGCTCCGGGGAAGCCCAGATGGGGCACTTCCTCCCTGACCATGGTCCCCAGGGTAGGCTGGGGCACACAGACAGACAGGGCTGTCCCACAGCGCTCCCCCCGGCCCCCCAAAAAACCAGCAAGCTGGGGTCCTACCCTCCTGCAAAGAAGAGGAGGTCAGGCGGTTCGGAGGCCCCTGGACGTGAGGGGGAAATTCCCAGTCTTGGTTCCAGCTGTGACTCAGGTTTTCCGAGGCTCGGGGTGCAGAGCGGGACCGGGGTGTGTGTAAGGCAGAGCATGAGCGAGGCCTGCTGGAGGATCCGGGCTGGGGCAGGGAGCTCATTATGGCAGCCACTGTCTGGCCCTGGTCGGGCCCCTGCCTCCTCCAGGCCTCAGTTTGCCCGTTGGCAGGGTGGATGGGACGCTGTTGGGGCTCCCTCAGCAATGACATTCTAAGGTTAGTGGCCTCGGAGTGGTTAGAGCAGGAGCTGTGGCCCCACTTCACAGATGGGGAAAGTTGAGGCAGAGGAGTCCAAGTGGCTCAGAGGACTGAGAGGTCAGTCATAGCCCTGGATCCGGGACCTCTGGCTGACCTGAGGAGTCCAATGGGCCAGCGGCCCCTGCATTCATTCATCCATTCATTCAGCAGATGAATGTTCTAGATGTTCTGTGTGAACTCCTATAGGGCATCAGGCGCTGTCTCAAGCAGGTCTCAGAGGTGAAGCCCAGCCCTCAGGAGCTTGAAGACTTCCAGGGAGAAAGACGTTTATGTAAATTACTTTTTCAGAAAAGAGAAATGGGTCTGTGGCAGGAGAGGGGCCAGGCCAGGTGCTGGGGGAGGGACCCCGGGGCAAAGATGGTCCCTAGAGACAGAGTCAGGGCAGGGTCCTGGAGGACTTGACCGTGAACCAGAGGAGTCTCAACAAGAGAGGCCCTGAGAGGCATTCCCGGGGGAAGGACCAGCCTGAGTAAAGGCCCGGTGGCTGGAGGAGACGTGGACAAAAAGAAGGAGCAGGGAATGAGGGCTGGGGAGTCAGCAGGAGCAGGGGGTAGCAGGGGAAGTCCCAGAATGTCATCCATCCAGCCGAAGACAGGGTCTGTTCTGTGTTCCCCCTTTAGGGGCAGAGCAGCCCCCAAAGGGAGTCCAGGAGCCAGAGGGAGACAGGCCTGGGTTCAGATCCTGCCTCCACCATGCCCTGCCTGCCACGGAGCCTCTGAGGAGGGAGACGGAGGGCATGAGCCTGCTGGGCAGTACCAGGTGTACCAGGTTAGTAATGCGGACTTTTTCAATAGATGGGGTTACACATATGTTGATATACATGTGATTTGATATGCATGCTATTTTGTTGTATTGGCAACAAGCTTAAAACTTCAGGGGCCCTGGGTTCGATTCCGGCCAAGGGCATGTACCTGGGTCGTGGGCACATCTCCAGTGAGGAGTGTGCAGGAGGCAGCTGATCGGTGTTTCTCTCTCATCGATGTTTCTCTCTATCCCTCTCCCTTCCTCTCTGTAAAAAATCAATAAAATATATTTAAAAAATAAATTTAAAAAAGGAAGGAGCAGGGAATGAGGGTTGGGGAGTCAGCAGGAGCCAGGGGAAGTCCCAGAATGTCATCCATCCAGCCTAAGACAGGGTCCGTTCTGTGTTCCCCCTTTAGGGGCAGAGCCCCCGAAGGGAGTCCAGGAGCCAGAGGGAGACAGGCCCCGGTTCAGATCCTGCCTCCACCATGCCCTGCCCCCCACGGAGCCTCTGAGGAGGGAGACAGAGGGCGTGAGCCTGCTGGGCAGTACCAGGTGTACCAGGTTAGTAATGCGGACTTTTTCAGTAGATGGGGTTACACATATGTTGATATACATGCGATTTGATTTGCATGCTATTTTGTTGTATTGACAACAAGCTTAAAACTTCCATATGTCAAATTTTCTGATATTTTTATACCTAACAATTTGAATTTAATGCCCAAAAAAAGCATTTGCAGGAAATTTTAATGCATTATTTTGAAGAAAAGTGCTGCTGAAAGTTACCGTATACTTTGGGAAGCTTATGGTGCTTCATGCTATGGTGTGACACAGAATTTTAGTAATTTATGTGTGCCATGAGATGAAAAAGGTTAAAAATCGCTCGTCTAGGGATCACTAACCTAGAATTTATTGGCACACATAAATTACTAACATTCTTTTTTTTTGGTTCAGACAAGGCCCCAGCGGGCAGAGACACAGTGCAACCAGGATTCCATGCCCAAGTAATCATAGGTATACTAGGTGTACCGGCTAATAATGCGGGTTTTTTTCAATAGCTGGAGTTACACATGTTGATACAGATGCGATTTGATATGTATGCGGTTTTGTTGTATTGCTCCTTCAGATGACCACTTGTTCTGATCGATGGCACACGCGCTTTCTGAGCGGCACTTCTCACGTACGAAGAAATAAAAAATTGGGTCTCTGAATGGTCTGCCTTAAAACAAGAAAAGTTCTATTGGGACGGTCGTCACAAATTACCTGAAAGATGGGGGAAATGTGTAGCTGGCGATGGACATGACTGTGAATAAAGCACTTTTGATGTTCCTCTTGAAATTATCGTGTTTTCTTTGATTACAAAATCTGCATTTTTAACCAGTTAATAGTCAATCTGCATTTTTAACCGGTTAATGGCTAATCCACACTGGCCACGCTAAGACCTTTGTTTAATCATACCTGCAAATCCCTTTTGCCATGGAAGGTGGCATATTCATAGCCACAGCTTCCCGGGACTAGAATGTGGACGTCTCCCACATGGAGGTTGAATATTGTGACCTATTCCCTGGGTTGCTGGGATCGTCCACCCTCTAAAGCACTGGGTTCCTCCTCCCAGAACGCCTGCCACTGCGCAGGCTCCGTCACTGCTCGGGGAGAGGTGAAGGGATGAATGAAGCCCATTTGACAGATGCAGAAACTGAGGCTCAGAGCAGCGTGACCTACCCAGATGCAGCGACATATTGAGGGTCAGAGCCCCGTCTCCCCCAGCCCCTGTGTCTCATGTGGAAATGAAGCTGCCAGGCCAGTGAGCCTCCCCGCCAGGGGCTCACCCCCCACAGCAGTGCCACCTCCCCCCGGCCCCGTTCACACACACACCCGCACACACACACACCCATGCTCTCCTTCAGTCAACCCATAAGCCCACCCCGCCATCTGAGGTCAGAACAGCAACAATGAGCCACCGCGGGGAGGAAAAAGGACCCGGGAGTTCCAGCCCCAGATCACACATCAACTGTGGGTGGTGGACCAGCCCCTGCCCCTCTCTGGGCTGCAGCTAAATGTGGGGTTGGACTGGATGTCAGCCACAAGCCCGCCGGCACTGCTCCCAACACTCTGACTCTCAGTGTCACGCCCTGGGAGTCAGTGATGAGCGAACGAAGGTGCAGAGTTTACAGAGCAGAGGGGAGGCCTCCCGGAAGTAAGTAAACAAACAAGTGACTATCTAACTGCAAATGGGGCCAAGAGTTGGGATGAGACGGCTCAGGGGCTGCGGGAGGCTAGTCCTAGTCTGGTCCTGAAGGTCATGGAGTCCTTCCATGAGACAGCAGAGTTGCCCATGAAGATGAGGAGTATTTAGGAAGGCAAGGATGCAAGAGGATTCCCAACAGTGAGAGCAGCACGTGCAAAGGCCCTGGGGTAGACGGGAACCCAGCAGCTTCAGAGCCATTTCTGAAGATTAATATCGAGTGAGAGGAGACGGACCAGCTCTGTTCTGTGCACTGCCTTCCCTCCAGCATCCAAGGCAGTGCCTGGAGCGCAGCAGGTGCTCAATAAATGCTTGTCGACGTGCGAATACCCATGCTGACCTCCACGCTTGTGTTCCCACCTTTTGACAACTTCATGCCCTGAGATTTTGCTCTTCGCCCTCCCCGAGGTCCAGGAGCGTTTTGGGGCCCAGGCTGGAAGATCCCCACAGCCTGCCCTGCTGTGGCGCCAAGGGGGTGGGGGTGGGGGCACAAGCAGGCCTCTGGCATGCAGCCGCTCACTGGCAACCTGCAATTTCAGAGGCAGAGAGCAACGGGCCCTCTGCCCAGTCTTGAAGCCATTCAGCG